TTTAATCGGGACGTAAATATTTCATCGCGAACGATGAGGCCGCCATGTGTTCTGACGTCATGCATTGGTGTCGAAATGCCCAAATCTGCTCATTTCCTCCAGCCAATCACGTAATTGGTCACGTGACCAAGTTGGCGATTCTCTCTACTAGAGGTTCTCTAGGCAAACCTCTATTTTTACGATCCGTAATGCGCAATTCGTGTCGAGTTTAGATCAGTTTAGATCAAAATGGGTCTCAAAAATGATTTATTCAAAAAAGAAACTGAAAGTGTTTTAATCGAAATGGTGAGACAACGTCCTATATTATGGGATGTACGCCAACCAGAATATCGTCGAACTGATTTAAAAAGAATGCATTGGGACCAAATAGCGGAATCTCTAGGTTCTAAATTCACAGGTATTTCAACATATCTTATTTATTTTTAACTATGTTATTTATTAGTAAAACTATACTTAGACTATTTATCCTTGAAGAGGTTATTAACATGAGTATAGAGGTTATTAATACGAATAGTTAGTTACTGTGGTAGATTATGTTTTGAGGTTATATACAAATTATTTAACGTTAATATTTCATGTTATTTTTTTTACATAGGAGATATGGTCCACAAACGATTTCAAAGTATGGAAAGCACTTTCCGTGCAAACGAACGAAAAATAAAGGCTGCAAAGACTCGTTGCAGTGGGAAAGGAACGGATGAAATTTATAAACCAAAGTGGGATTATTATAAATCACTCTTGTTTTTAAAGAAAACTTGTGCACAGTTCGACACTATTGATAATTTCTCTTTACAAAACGAAGTTTCTATGCTTAGTGAAGAAACAAATTGTTCATCCATTTCTCAACCTAGTGATGAAGAAAATTCATCAGTGCACACAAACATTCATTACGATGAAGACACACAAGTGCGAAATCGTTTTTTATTAACATTTTATTTATTTCAGTGTTATTTACAATTAGTTATTAATTCTGGTATTAATTAGTATTAATAACATAAAAATATTTTTTATAAGTGAGAGTTAATATTTATAATTTTTTATAAATGCCATTTAACATATTTATTTTTTACTTTTAGCAATTCATGGTTATTCCATTTAATTCATCTAAACTTGACAAGATATTACATGCAAACCAAGAAACGTCTGAACATTTCGAATGAAATGTTTCGTCCAGCCCAAACGAATCGGTTAGATCTTGCAACGCTCGGCAACCGTTATCGACAATAAGCAATACATCAAGCTTCTCATCTGAAAGATCTACTCCTCTACCTAGGCTTGCATCTACTTCACTAAATACTAAAAAGCGTTCTGCTGAGGACCCGATATATGTAAAATGGGACAATTCAAAAAGGGGTAACTTTATGGAAGAGGCACTAGATACTGTGAAAAGTATAGCTCAACAACACTCATCTCCTCCAAAAATGGATAGATTTGATACATTTAGTGCATATGTTGCATCTAGACTTCGGTCAATGACTCCTGAAGATCAAGAATATTATGAAAAGGAGATTCTACGAATACTGATTGAGCCAAGATTACAATAAGTTCTTTATTATATCGACATCAGCAACATATTATTACATTGAGTATTACATTAACTGTGATTATATATATATATATATATATATATATATATATATATATATAGAGATA